CTCCTGACCCAGCAGATAACCTTGAACATGTCAAGAACAGGTCATTTGTCTGGCAGAAGAAGCAAGTAATTGGGGCCGGCCCAGTGGCTCAGCGGTTAAGTTCACATGTTCTGCTTCGGCAGCCCAGGGTTCACGGGTTCGGATCCTGGGTGCGGACATGGCACTGCTTGGCAAGCCATGCTGTGGCAGGCGTCCCAGGTATAAAGCAGAGGAAGATGGGCATGGATGCTAGGTCAGGGCCAGTCTTCCTCAGCAAAAAAAGGAGGATTGGCAGTAGTTAGCTCAGGGCTAATCTTCCTCAAAAAAAAAAAAAAGCAGCAAGTAATTCATAATTTATTCATTCATTCAACGAATATATATATTGAGGACCCTCTGGAGAGCATTAGGAATCTCTCCCCAAATTATCCACTATTTGCTGCCATTTTACCTTAGATATTCTTATATGGGAGCATATAAGTAATTTTTTCCTGAAGAAATTAATTAACTGGGGCTAGCCCCCATGGCCCAGTGGTTAAGGTCGTGCACTCCATTTCCACGGCCCAGGGTTTTGCTGGTTTGGATCCTGGGCGTGGACATGGCACTGCTCATCAGACCACGCTGAGGCGGCATCCCACATGCCACAACTAGAAGGACCCACAAGTAAAATATACAACTATGTCCTGGAGGGATTTGGGGAGAAAAAGCAGGGGGGGAAAAAAAGAAGGTTGGCAACAGTTGTTAGCTCAGGTGCCAATCTTTAAAAAACAAAGTTTGTTTTTTAAAAAAATTAACTAATAATAATATTTATTTGATAATTATTGCATACTCAGAACTAGGCTAACCAGCTTGCGTATCATGTTTAATTTAATATTTACATTAGCTCCATGGGGTCGGGACTGTTATTATTCCATATCATAGTGGAGGAAGCAGGAACCTAAGGAGGTGAAGTGACTTGCTCAACCCAAGGTCACTGAGTTAGGATAAAAATCCAGAGTCACCCGACTCCAAAGCCTGTCCTCGCAACCACAGCGCTAGGTTGTTCCGCAGTGTAAGCTTTCAGTGGGCAGAGAATAAAGCCATATGGATTATCAACATCTTAATGAGTTGATCAGAGAGATTCACGGTGGGAGGAGCTGGAGGGGACGTGGCAATAGGGGCAGCTGGAGAAATATGATGGCACTGGGCACCTTAGTGGAAAGGAGACTCCAGAAAGAAGGAGGAAAAAGAGAGAAAAGCTAACTCAAAAATATTTCATCTATTTCACAATTTTGTCGAGGGGCAAGTGGCTTCTACATAAAATTCTCCTCATCTAAACATCATTCCATGGGTAGCATAATATTTTATCCCTATTTTATGCACAGGGATAGATTTCTGAGTGGTCAGACCAGTTACTAGTATGTCAGTCAGGATAACAAAGGAAATTTCACCAACCGTATTTCTTTCCTTAACGTTTCTTTTCAAGTATTTTAGAGGGTAGCAGTAATCAATAACTTTAGAATATATTTTTTGCAGACATCAGTAATTTTTTTGTTCACAACTGTGTAGGCCAGATTATATGGGTCTCTGAAGAAAAAAATAAAATAGAGACAATGTGGAAAATATTTCTGTTGTATAAACTAAAACAAAGTCTAGATCTGTTCTGTCCAATATGTAGTCACGTGTAATTATTTAAACAAATTAATTTGAAGTAAATCACATCAAAATTTCAGTTCCTTAGGCACATTCCCCACGTTTCAACTGCTCACAAGTCATGTATGACTGGTGGGTGCCTTATTGGACAGCCCGGATATAGAACATTTCCATCATTCTAGAAGTTTCTATTGGACAGTGCTGGTCTAGAGGTAAACCCACAGAGTAAAAGAGGATTGTGTTTAGACAGGAAATTAACCTGATGACAGGAAAGAAATAACAAAAGGAGGCAGTTTAAGGAGAAGAAGAGAGACAATTCATATCTGTAGAAGAAAAGAATAAGAAATGCTAAGCAGATGACAGAGTCACTAAGTAATATTACTAAATTGCAATCAAGAGAAAACGAATTTGTAGTGTGAATATGTTATGAGCCATTATATCTATCATGCTTACTGGAATTGCAAACGAGATGAAATCCGTAAAATGGAAAGCAAAAAACAAAAACATTTCAGACTTCAGAAACCATCCCAGTGGGTTAAGGAGATAAAGGAGACTTAGTTGATTGTTAAAAGATGAGATCCAGCAGGCTGGCCTGGTGGCGTAGTGATTAAGTTCGTGTGCTCCACTTCAGCGGCCTGGGGTTTGCAGGTTCGGATCCCGGGCGCAGACCTGGCACCACTCATCAGGCACGCTGTGGAAGCATCCCATATTACAAGAGGAAGATTGGCACAGATGTTAGCTCAGCAACAATCTTCCTCAAGTAAAAAGAGGAAGATTGACAACAGATGTTAGCTCAGGGCCACTCTTCCTCACAAAAAAACAATTAAAAAATAGAGGATGAGATCCAAAGGCTGAGAATCAGTAGAGAAAAGCTCCCATGAGCAAGAGTATGAAAGAACTAGATGGATTAAAACAACCCCAACGATGTGATAATGAGGAGGAGAAATGAAAGAAGAAAATTTGCTACACGGAAGTTGTGAAAACGTATGAGAATAAATTTGTAGGTGGGCTCCCAGGACAGTGTGCTGCTGGTTACTTGGTTTGCGTAATATATTACGAATATTGCAACTATGTTATGGAAAGAAAGTTGCAGGGGCCACCCGGGTGGCACAGTGGTTAAGTGCGCATGTTCTGCTCCTCAGTGGCCCGGGGTTCGCCGGTTCAGATCCCGGGTGCGGACATGGCACCGCTTGGCAAGCCATGCTGTGGCAGGCGTCCTACAAATAAAGTAGAGGAAGATGGGCACAGATGTTAGCTCAGGGCCAGTCTTCCTCAGTGAAAAGAGGAGGATTGGCAGCAGTTAGCTCAGGGCTAATCTTCCTCAAAAAAAAAAAAAGTTGCAGAGTATAACACCTGTCTTATGCATTTTTGCACAGCTACTATAAAGAAATAGCTGAGACGAAGACAACTCTGCTTCTGTCTCCTGGTACCTTAAAATCTAAGCACAAAGTTTCCTATTTACTGGCCACCTCTTTTGTCAGGAACCAGGCTGTGTTCTTCACACCATAAGTGTCATCTTCACAATATCTCTACTCAAGAGGCTCAGAAACTCCTCGGCTCGCCAGTGCATGACGTTCCCAGAGGCTGTTCTAAGTGTATTTGTGCTAAAGTACAAAATGACTGTTCGAGCCATCACTCCTATCTGGCGGTGAGTTACTTCTATTACTGCCTAGTTTTAAGAACTTTCATAGGTGCTCATAAATAAATCTAGTGCCCAAAAACAGCGCCAAGTAGAACAAGACTCATTGTGCCCGTAACAGTTCCTAAGTCGAAAGCGTGTAAATAGAGAAACTTCTCTATGATTAACTTATTTCGCCAATGAGAAGGTTGAGGCTCACGAATTTCAGTTGCCGAAGGTCAAGGAATAAGCATGTGGAGAGGCCCAGGGTGGATTTCTGGGTTTGTGTATCTGCAAAACCCGGTCCCATTGTATGAACTACACCGTGCGGCCTCTTAACCACCTGTATCACGTGACAGAACGGACGAAAGCAGCACTGGTGGACCAGTGGAAAGAGCAGGCGTTTTGACACCGTTTTAAGCTGGCTTCCCCTAGAAGCAGACCCTGAGTGAAGGATGTTGAGTGTTGTGGTTTCCTTGGAAAGTGGCCCCAGCAAGCAGCGCCAGTGCAGTGGGGGAGCAAGACGGGGAGGAAAGAGGTCCATACAGGGTGTGTTAATAAGAAGATTAATTCCGTGAGTAAGTGGGAGGAAATTCCACTCGGGACCTCTAGGAAATGATGGAGACCACTCCTCAGAGTTTTTCACCCCAAAGAGAAAGCTGAGACATTTGTCTGCGAAACTCTCTTCTTTACTGGCTGAGAGCTACTCCCAGGCCATTAACTTTCCAACCCTTTCTGGACTGCCCCAGGCAGGGGCCAAAAAAAAAACCAAAAAGAAAGGAAAAAGCTCCCAGGTGGAGAGTCTCAAGCGCTTTGAGGTCAGAAGCCTTGAAGTCAGAGCTAGGATCGATGGGAACAGTGAGAGCCAAGAGCATACGGGCAGAGCATGGGCAGCATCTCTACAACCTCCGTCAGAAAAAGATACGCTTGGATTACGACTCTGCTGCTCCCTGCTTTATGACTTAGGGCAAACAAGGCTCCCATCAAATATTACACATGGTCTTTGGTGGTTGTTCTATCTGCTATGTCTCCTTCTCGAATGGTTCTCCATCTTTGTTCTTTTCCATAAAATTGACTCCTGGTTGGAATCAAACCAGTTGTCTCACAGGAGGTCTCATTTCATGCTTTTGACTGACTGTTTCTTCATGGAATACTTTACCATGGTCCCCTACTCCCCGTATTCGCTGCAAATTGGTTGTTAGATCTTATGACTTGGTTAGATTTTAGCTAAACATTTTGGCTAGACTCCTTCATAGGAGGCGATCGGTACCTCACGTTGCATCACATGAGGAGCCTCACCTCGTCTGCTTGTTCCACCATCCATTTGGTAAATTCATCAGTGGGAAACATCCTTACAGCTACATCTCTCTGACACAGTCTTTACTTGTAATAAGAAATACAAATAGCCATATTGCTAGATTCCTCTAAAAATTAAGTGATACAGTCAAAGCACCTAACGTAACTCATAAATATAGCAGAGGCTACATTGATGAAAACTACGATGTATCTGGAATAAGTGCAGTGAGCGAAGAGTAGAAGGAAGGACCCAACTGAATGCACCTTTGACAGCTTCACAGAAGGGCAGAATTTTAAACTGAGTTTTAAGAATAGATGAGGGCGGGAGCAGCCCTGTGGCCTAGTGGTTTGGTTCAGCGCACTCTGCTTCAGCAGCCCAGGTTCAGATCCTGGGTGTGGACCTACACCACTCGTCAGCCATGCTGTGGCGGTGACCCACACGTAAAATAGAGTAAGACTGGCACAGATGTTAGCTCAGGACGAATCTTCCTCGTTAAAAGAATAAATAAATAAAAAAGAACAGATGAGGGAGAATTGCCTTCTGGTGTGAGTTACTAAGGAGAACAAAAATATAAAGTACATAGTACAAATAGTAGTGTGGATTGGGAAAGATATAAAAGTCAAAGCAGGAAAGCCGTGATGAGGAGAGATGGTGGGAGGATTAAGATATCATTTTAAGTACTCTGGAATTTATTTTGTAGACAATAGGAAGCCTTCAAAGGTGAGAGTTTGTTTTCTTTTAAGAATCATTTGACTTGTGTTTCAAGAATATGATGATGCCAGACATCTTTTCTTTGCCCTTCAAGATCCTCTCTCACCTTTCACTACCCAGTTCTCTGCCCCAAGAGGCCATTCTGTATGGACCACATCCACAGGCTTTCTTGGTTGCTGGCTTTGATGTGCTTTTGACCAGGGAGGAGCCCAGCAGTTATCAGAGAGAGAAGAGTGCACTGTGGGCATTTCTCCCATCTCCCATCCTGCAGTGTCACTTCAGGAGGGCCCTGCCTCGCCACCCAAGAAAACACTTCCTCAGAAGGTGTGTTCTCCACGGGACGCTCTCATTCTAGAAAAAATCCCTCATGTTGGTAGCCCAGGGAACTCCACCATCTCAGCTTGGGTCTTGCCCATACCCTACCCATAGCACTGTGCACAGTCCCTTTACGAAGCTCTTCTCTTCTCTTACTTGAGTTGCCCTGTGTTTCCTGCAGCATCTATTAATAGTACCAAAAATTACTCCAGGAAACAGATCCTCAAAAGAAGATTCTGGGATCAATTTGCTTATCTATTTGAGGATCTTCGAAGAGTGAAGTTTGAAATCCTACCAGGAGAGAGCTCCTGTCCAGCCACAGTCTTGGCAGAAGGAAAGGGGAACACAGAAATAGAACATGTCGTAGAAGGAAGCTCTGATTACTGAACTATGCTGCATCCAGGTACAGGGGTGGAAACAGCATCAGCTACGGTTCATGTCACTTGATTATTTCCTTTTCCTTTTTCCCCTGCGGCCCTATAAGAAGAACCCCAGGGATCACTCATGTTTTTGTTTCGGACACAGGTTTGATGGTATTGACATCACTCCATGATGATTCAGAAGCTGACGGGACTTCATGAGTCCCGTGATGGACAAACAAACTTCTCCCACAAACACAAGTGGATGCTAAGGAATGATGGCACCAGATGTCTTATTTATCACTCCAGATGCAGGATGCTGTTCGCTGCGGATTATAGCAATTGTCTCCTTCACCTTCTGGGCCGCGGGTGGGCTCCTGTACCATCCCAGCAGGAGATCTGACGACGGGATGAGAACCAGCTGAGGGTGCTTACTTCTTTGCTCCCATCCTGGGGGTTGCCTCTAGCTGGCTACATCCCATAACCAAAGGACACAATTCCTGTCATGGTGAGTGTTAAGGACTGAATTGTGTGCCTGCATCCCCCAAAATTCAAAGCCCTACCCCCCAAAGCAACTGTATTTGGAGTAAGGAAGTAATTAAGGTTAAATGAGGTCATAAGGGCAGAGCCCTAATCCAATAGGGTTACTATTCTTCTAAGAAGAGGCACAGCAGAGCTAGCCTGCTCTCTCGCCACCATGTGAGGACACAGCAAGAAGGCGGCCAGCTGCAAGCCAGGGAGAGAGCTCCCACCAGAAACCAAATTGGCTGGCACCTTGATCTTAGACTTTCCAGCCTCCTGAACTGGGAGAAAATAAATCCCTCTTGTTTAAGACAACCCAATCTATGCTATTTTGTTCCGGCAGCCTGAGCTGAGAGTGGGTCTCTCCATGGGACCTGCTCTTTTCAGGCTTTTGTGACAACTCCCTGCCTTACCATTTCAGACCCACGGATGATGAACGGCCCCGCTCTTCCTCTTCATTTCCCTCACACGCGCACACTTTTATAAACAGCCTCTCATTAAGCCCTTCTTTATTTATTCTAGTTTAAACCTGCCGTCTTTTTCCCATTTCCTTTTTCCTTGACTGATTTCTTACCTCTAGATTCCATGCGGAACAGGAGATGGAGAATGTGGGAAATTAAAGGCTGGGGGACTGGTGCAGTGTCCCCTGAACCAGGTTCTCGTTCAACAAGTATACGCTGAGTACCTGCCCTGTGCCAGGCACCATTCTACAGCAGAAAGAAGAGAGATCAAGTTCCAGCCCTCTGGGGTTTACATTCCAGTATAGGAGACAATCAACAAGTGAACAAAGAAATGAGGTAAGTTCAAGCTGTAACCTGAGCTCTTAAGGAAATATACAGCGTGATGAGATGGAAAATAAATGGGTGGAACCTACTTTACATAGGTTGGTCAAAAAAGGCCTGGGAGGAGATGGCAGAAAAGATACTGAGATGAAATCACCAATACTGATGAATGATTAAATGTGGAAAGTAAAGGAGAAAAAGGAATCAAAGATAATCCCAAGATTTCTATCTGAGTAACTAGGAGTAAATACAATCTATTTCTATAGCAGATATGAAATAGATCTATGTTCTCTAGTTGGCAAGCTGCAAATTCACCCTGCCCCTCTTTTTGTAAATTAAATGTTGTTGAAACAACGCCACACTCATTCATTTACTTATTGCCTGTGGTTGCTTTCAGCCCACAACAGCAGAACTGTATAGCTTCAAGAGAGACTACAAAGCTGAAAATACTTGCTCGCTGGCTCTCTGCAGAGTAAGTTTACCGACCCCTGCTCTCTGGCCTGGAGCCACAGCATCATGATAGAAGGAACTGAGGAGCAGTCCATTTCCTCTAGGAATTTTCTGGGAGCCAGAGCAATGGTCTGCTTAACTAACCCTTCCCGTCTTAGAATGGGTTGGAGGAAAATTCACACTCGAGCTTAATCAGTACATGGAGATTGGGGTAACTCTACCTTCTGCCTCCTTGAATAAACTTGCCCAGAAACTCAATTCGAAATGCCCACGTCGGGGATGGAGAAACAAGCAGAAAAGAAAGCTCCAGCCCGTGGCCTCAGGTCGAACTCGGAGTGAACTTCTGCACGACCAAGCAACTTCAAGTTCTCAGCTTGCTGCGTATTTCTCCCACCTCCACCCCTGCTTTCTGTGTGGTACTGCTGATTCTAGCTGCTAATAACACTTAATCTACCCAACAACATCGACATCAGAGAAAATGACTGGGATCAGAAATCCTCCCTCACCTCTCGCCTTGCAGCCTCTGAAGAAGGCTCTGCCACTGTCTGCAAGTGAAGCCTAGCCTGAAGCCTTCAGCTTCCAGAGGCCAAGCAAATGTTATCCTAACATGGGTCACGGTAGGTGGGTGGTTGGCAAACCTGTTGATACACTACGCTGTCTACAACATAACTTGTTGCAAAGCTGAATTAACAGTAGCCCCAAGGCCAGCTGAAGACTGCGCACAGATTATCCCCATTCCTATTTTAAGATTTGAATCTAACAAACAGCACAGACTGCTCCGCCATCATTTGCTTACCACTTGTTTGTATCTATTTTTCTGTGTTACTAACTTTAGCCATGCTTTTTGCCACAGGATTGAGTCTGAGAGCAGGCAGACATGGACTCAAGAAAGACAGATGATGGTTTAAATTTACTCTCACAGGATAAAGACCAAAACAGCCTTCTCCTGTTCAAGGACCCCTCGAAGCTGGTTAGCTAATAGCCAATTTTTTTTTTTAAAGACTTTATCTTTTTTCATTTTTCTCGCCAAAGCCCCCCGGTACATAGTTGTATATTCTTCGTTGTGGGTCCTTCTAGTTGCGGCATGGGGGACGCTGCCTCAGCGTGGTTTGATGAGCAGTGCCACGTCCGCGCCCAGGATTCGAACCAACGAAACACTAGGCCGCCTGCAGCGGAGAGCGCGAACTTAACCACTCAGCCACGGGGCCAGCCCCACTAATAGCCAATTTTGAGCACCCTAAAAATCATGACAAAGTGACAGGATCCTAGTCATCATGTTCATAGTATAATTTCTCATTTGGATGATGATAAATTCATAAATTTTAGAGCAAAATAGCTGTAAAGAATAGTAGTCAGGTGAAATTTGGGTATAAAATGATCTGGGTGTGAACTTGGGCTGTGGTCTTTACTCTCCGTTCCACCCTGGACAAGTCACTTACCCCCCCTAGAATGCAGTTTCCTACTGGGAAAATGAAGGGAGTGGACTGGTTCCATGAAGTACCCTCCAGCAGCAAAAGTCTATGAATCTCCATCCGGTCTAGGTTAACCCCTTCCTTTACAGATGTAGAAACTGAACACACAAGGGTGAACTCTAAAACAGCTAGTTAGGGGTATAGATGAGTTTGGAATCAGTCTTTGATATTTTGTTTTAAATTAACTGGGTGTGGGGGGCAGGTGTGGGTGTGTATGTGTGCGTAGGTGTTCTGAAGAGCTCAAAATCATAAAAATGCAATACCCCTGGCCCCGGGCCTAACTTCATGTGAATTTCTGCATCTTTCTGTTCTTAGAATCTCTGTTCTTAGAACAGAAGGGGCCATAAAGATTGTGCATGGCACCCTACTCAATTTATAGGCAAGAACTTAGAAGACACCCCAACTGGAACACCAGAGCTGGGAGCACATCTCAGGCCTTAGAACACACAAAGGCCTGAACAATGACGTGGTTTGTATTGACTCTCAGCCCAAGTGGTATTTCTCAAATTTTCTTAGTAATGAATGACTTACGAAAAAAGCTAGTGATTAAATGTCATTTGCTGGATTTTCTCTAAATAAAAATCATTTTCTAAGAGTCACTAACCGCTTACTATAATGACTTTACTGTGGGATTACTTTAATTTTACTGTGGAAATAAGGATTATGTCAACTTCCTTTACCTCAGAAGTCTTGAAATGGAAAATTTTGCTTGTGTAAGTACATAGTTGTTGGATATTTTAAAAATAAAATTGTATTTTTAAATAGCACACGTCTCTATCACATGAGGAATTTCATCACAAATGTAATCTCTTAGAAAATTTGTTATTCTGAAATGAAAATATGCTCTTAGAAATTTTACTCAATGACAACGGAAATCCTGTAACCAAACATTATGAATCCAGCCTATTTATCCAGAGTTTGTTTGGCGCTGTGCATAATTAAGATCAAAATGTCACTGCCCTGGAAATAAATTAAACGTTCAATAGAGGATTAACTAAACACATTATGGCACATTCACAAAGTAGAAGGTTATCCATCTAGAGATGTGTTTCAGAAAAAAAAAATTTGTGTAAATGAAAATATTCCTTCTTAATTTAAAAAAACTATAAAAAAACTGTAACTATTTGCACCCTACGACCCCCGTTTTGTAAGTCTGTGTGTACAAAATTCTAAACATGGATGACATGAGAAATTTCGAGTCAATTTTGAGCAAAATACTTTGCTGACAAATTTTTTTAACAGGATATGGTTTTTTTCTTTATCTGGAAAAATTCATCCCTATCATTCTCCCTCCCCATGTCACTTCCACCCACTCTACAGAAGCCACCATTTCCTTTGTCCTCAACAAAACTGATCTGAATTTCACACTGTATCATTCCATTTCTTTTTATGCATAAAGTTGAAAGCTTCATGGTTCAGTGACAGTAAGAAAGTCTGGCGCCCTGAAATAGATTTGTCTCTGGTTTGTTTTTCTACTTAATGACGAAGTAATCTCTTCTGATACTATAAAAATGATTCAATGTGAATCAATTTTCAAAACACCATAAATCACAGACATTACAACTTCAAAGCCAATGTTACTTCCTGTATAACTGGAAAAGAGGAAACCTACACACGCCCTGCCCCAATTCCTGACCTCTGGGGCTGTGGAGTACTAAAGGACCGTAATCGACTTTCTTCATTTACAGAGAATTGCGCCTGGACATCCTGCCTTGCCTAGGAAAGCCGTCGGCCTGGGGCAAGGGAAAGAAATGTCAAAGCTTTGGCCTCTTTTTTTCAGTCGCTATTGTGACGGGCCTTGGTTTCTTGTGAAGGTGGGCCTTGGGGCCCAATCTGGGCTCAAGGAAGTGGGACATGATGAAGAGTGACATTGAACTGCAAAATAACAATAAGTCCCTGTACTGAGATTAATCGTAGACTGGGATGCTTGCCCGGTTCCGCCCAGATCTACTTAACTGGGCTGGTACATCCATTCCCCGGCTGCTGGGAGTGTGAGCTGTTAATAGCTCACACCTGCTCCCCTTCCCCAGCCCTCTGCTGACCAGAGCCAAGCTGGGACCTTAGTCTCTTCTCTCCTCCTGCCAGAGCCCACAGCCCCGGTCTGACACAGGCCACAAAAGTATGGCCCCCTTACCTCAAGGAAGGACCACTCTGCAGTGTGATTTTATGCTCCAGGGCCCCACCACCCCACTGCATCCCCTGGAGGGGACCAGGCCAGACTTCACCTGAGCGCACAGCCTTGCCCACTCCATCCCTCCGTCTCTGAGAAGTTTCTCCTCAAGAGCAGACCCTCAGCAGATCACAGAGGCCCCACTCTCTGGCTCAAGCGCTGCGTCTAGGGAACCGAACCTAAGACAGATATTTGGGCTTGAGGAAATGATTTCATTCCCTGAACAAGTATCTGGATTCTCTTGTAGGTGATCAGCAGAGATGCGGAGATCAGAGTTATTCATTTTAGAGGGCTACCATGACAAGGGCTTCTTCGGGACTCTCCAGGCTGGCCTGCAAGGTCTCTGGATTGCCCTATGTCTAGAACTAAAGTTTGTCTTTAGGTCTGCGAGTCTGGGTGTACTTGTGTCTGTGGAGGGCTGTGGATGGCTCACTAGTTAACTGCTGATGGTGAAGACAAATGGTCTGTCTGTCTTGTACACAGGAAGGGACCTGGCCTTGGAATGCCAAAGGCCAGGCTGGAGAGTCGGGCAGAACCCTCCCTCATGAAGGCAGTCTAAAAAGAATAACTCCAATCGCTGTGTCCCCAGTGATCATCTCCAGCAGGAATGGCTTCCAGGACAAGACTAACCCTATGGGAAGGGGCTGGGAGTTCTTAAAGGAAAAGGTGGACAAAGCTTCTGTGCATCAAGGAATATTTCTCAAACACCATGGGCCATCTGAACTCCACTCTTGTTTATTCATCCTCCCTCTCTGAAAAGCACTTCTTCCTTCTTACAGCTTCTCTAAGTCCTATGCACCCTTCAAGGCCCCACCGTGCTCTGCATCCTTCATGCTCCCTGTCACCCCAAACACTCCTTGCCACAGATATCCCTCCCCTTCCCACTTTATGCACCCCTTGTTGTTTATACTATTCCTTTAGCACCTCACACATACTATCATGTGCTCTTCCTGATATCCTGACATTTATGTCCCTTCTCTCCAGCTTATTTGAAAAGCCCTGAAGGATAAGGACGAGGCCTTATCCAGAATCTCCCTAAATATGCACCTTACAGATACTAAGTAAGTATTTATTAATGATGTCGACATGTACATTCATTGCTGAGCTGGCAAAATGCTATGTCTTAATGGGATAACAGGATTTTGTGAGGTCTGCTAATTAGGGTCTTCCCCTGCCCTAGGAGATTACCAGATGACGGCAGGGATGGAAGAGGAGTTAGCGCTTGGTTGAAAGCAGAGATATTAAATTGAAGTTCAAAGAGGGCTCAGTTCTTCCAGGCAGCCCCTGCTGTGCCCCAGTTGAGAGAGAGAAGGATCTGGTTTGACAGCCTTTACCCACAGGGGACATAAGAGGGAACTCTGTGCCCAAAAGCCAAGCCTGTTGGGAGGGGCAAGAGGTGGAGAAACGCCATGTTTGTAAGGAGAGGCCATCCTCTTCCATTAATGGCCTTTTCTGACTGGTTTCTGTCTCAAAAACTGCGGTCTAAGTTCAAGAGAAGAGACTTGCTTTTGAAGTTTTTGCGTAACTGAAAGGTGGTGATGATGGTGCTTTGTTCCCCAGTGGGATGCCCTCTGAACCACCAGCATGGCCAGTGTGCCCCAGGGCTACTAGAGCATAGGGAGGACCAAGCATGGCAGAGGGGCCAAGTGCTCCCCCTAGAGGTACACAAGATGGCACTTGCCTACGCCCTTAGGCTCCAGAGTTAGGACCACAGAAGACAATGCGTGCGGGCTTGGTTGATCAACAGGGTCCCACCTACTTCACATGAACGCTGCATAGAACTACCAACTAGAGGTCAGCAAGGATGGGAGAAACTACCATTTCCTAGAAAATCTCCTTGGGACCGAGACCCTGAACAGCAGGATTGGGGGGGGGCCTCTGCCTGCCCACCCCAAGCCTGCACACAAGTTGCTAGAGCAGTTATGATGAACAAGAGAAAGCAAAGAACATCCTCACCATCGCTGACGTGGGGCTGTCCCGCCATGTCCACCAGAGCCGTCTTGCCCTTCTCCATCCCAACACGGGAGAGGCAAGCATGGGAGGGGGCGGGGGGAGACGGAGGGAGCAGTCTGCGGTGAATATGAGATTGGAGCTTATAAGTGGATAAGATGATTAAACAGCATAACCAGGACTAGAGGCATAATTTTCAGGGCCCACTGCAAAATGAAAATGCAAGGCTCATTGTTCAAAAAGCAAGAAAAAAATCACCCTTAAAGGTACTGAAATGTAAAGCTTTTTCCTTTCATCCATGGTCTCTCTCTACCTGTCATGGAAGTTTTTTTTTATCTCTACTTAATGTCACGCTCCCTCGGGTACAAAGATCCTTGTGGACCAAATGGGGACCCTTGCAGGTTCCAGGGGCCGGAACTGCAATTCAGGCTGCATGCTGCTTCTGGAGGTGGAGAGCTCC